GGAAGAGGAAAGAAAAATGACTGCTTCGATATGACTCTCCCGACTCATATCTGCCTAGAATGCTACGAAGCACACACACAGAAAATAGATCAGATTCAGATAAATTTATTTAACTATGAGTATAAGTAATTCCATTATGTAAAGGAAGAAGTGACCAAACACCACATAAATAGTTTTGACGTACCGGGAAAGAGTATGTTTGCTTTCACAGAAACAACAAAGCATTTAGATAAGGTAAAGAAAAATAGAGGCAATCTTGATATTAGGCCACACCACCCACACTACTTCTGGCACCTTTGCTCACACCACACCCATCTTCAAACTCTGCCTTTACTTTGATCATGCAACCTCTTTAAAATCAACTTTCATCTTGACACTATTTAAATATAAGGTTTTGTGACTCCATCTTTCACAGTTGGGGCGTTATAACAGTGACTGCTCACAGCCAATCGGATATAGAAACATGTGGTTGATTCCTGGAAACTTCTTCTGTGGTAGTTCTGCTACAGGATGTGTCTCATTTTCAATTATCTCTCTCACACTCACACTCACACACACACACACACACACACACACACACACACACACACACACACACACACACACACACACACACACACACACGAGGAAGTAAGGTGCATTGCTCTATAGGGCCCAAGCTGTGTGATGGGGAATAACATCTCTCTTTTTTTTTTACAGTGGTAAAGAACACATTCCCTATAACATCAAGACATACATAGTGTATGAGACCTGCATCATGGAGCTTTTCGAAATGTGTCCTGTGTGCCAGCGAGTGTGTGATGTTCAAACCCGAAGGATGGGTACATTTCTATCAGTGGAGCAGCTGTGCCCTCATTGTCAGTTTTCCAGACTGTGGAATAGCCAGCCTATTGTACGGAGTACTCCAGCTGGGAACCTACAGCTTTCCACTTCAGTGTACGTCAATGGAGAGTCTTTCTTCAAACTTGAAAAGGTAAATAAACAACAGGTATACGTTTTTTTTAAATAGTTGAATATGTCAAATAATGTTGTTGAATTATGTCAAGACTTGTTTCTATGAAAATCCATGAACTGCTTTTGCAGAAACCTTTATTTCCATCTTTTTTTTTTTTAAAACCCCCTTTAGGTCTTGAAAGCAATAAACCTACAACTTTTCGAGTACGACACCTTCCTAAGGCATGCCAAAATGTTCATCGAGCCAGCTATCGTGTCAAACTTTAAGACATCACAGGAAATGATGCTTCGGCGGCTCAGTGAAGAGGACAAGATTATACCTGGAGGTGACTTGTGGGCAGACTCTCCTGGTAATTATATTCTAAACATTGGAAAGGTCAAATGCCCCCCACTTCGATCAGAAATAGTATTCCTCATACAGAGTAATGTAAAGATTGTACAATTATTTTCACAGGCCACTCTGAAAGGTCAGGCAGCCACACCACGATGGACCTCAAGATCAACAATGTTGTTGACATCCCGTTGTTTAAGGTGAGTGGAAAATGAAATATAAACCTTTTTTTAAGTTTGGTTTGCACACGTCATGCATTTCAATATATCTTTATTTATATATTTCATATGTTTTCTGACAGAGCGATGAGGTTGGTGGAAGCTGTCAGATGGAAAAAGAAGGTCTGGAAAGGGGTCTGGCGTTGTTGCAGGAGCATGGTGTGACTGGTTTGCATTATCAATCACCGTTGACCCTTAATACAGAAATTCAATGTGTAAACGAAACATTCCTTTTTTTTCAATGTTTGCACAGGTTGCCTTGATGACTTGATGGCCCTCATCTTTGATGAAAACTTTGTGGACCCGGCACCATTCAAAGAGGAGATTTTGAAGGTCACCATCACAGAGGACCTGTGTGCTCAGGACGAACGGCCTGTCAAGGAGGAGGTCATTGAAAGCTTTGTCACCCAAGTCAAGACAGAGGCTTTCTGAATCCTGCATAAAGGTTTTGGGGCTCAGGAAACTGCAGATCCTGAGTACTACACGAGCAGGAATGATGACCTGATCCTGCGTCTCAGGAAGCCCTAGCACCAGCTCACAAAACCCTTTAAGGCTGGATACTGGTTACGCCTGCAAGAATTGCTCTGTCAAAAGATCACTAAAACATCTACCTTTGATGTGTTTAAAGCTACATGTTTTCTTTTATGGGTTAAGTGAACCTTTTTTTTTAGATGACCGAGACAAGTTGTAAAGTGGGACAAAAAAGGTAAAACACTGTGCAGTTTTAACTTCCATTTGGAGTTATGACAATAAAGGCTTTACAGTTTCTATAAAATGTGTCATGATTATTTATGTTTCATAGATTCAGCAGCTGTTGATTAATTGATGATGCGATGTGAAATATAATCAGCACTTAGAAAGACTTTTCTCACACCTGGAGTAAACTCACAAGCTACCCTGCAGCATGCAAAGTCATTAAAACTACCTGCACCTTTACCTGCTTTGAAAAACACAATCATTATAATCAAAACATATAATATATTATTCTGAAATGGGCCAGTTTGCATATACGAGTACTTTCACTTTTGGTACTTTAAATATATTTAGATGCTTATATTTTTTTACTTTGACTTTAGTAACATTTTTAATGCAGTATTTTGACCACACTCTGGATCTTTTACTGTTACTTACTACAACAGGGGTGTCCAAACTACTGCCCGGGGGTAAAATGCAGCCCGTGAGCCATTTATAATTGGCTCTCATCAAATTCAAAAAGTATAATGAAATACGGCCCACAAATGAAACTTGTGCTTGTCATATATTGTACTTCTTAAATGTAATATATATATATAAACATATATTACTCGTAGTATTCATGTGTTAATAAGCCAATTTTTCAAATAAATTCAGTCAATTAAAGTTTAAAACAATTTCTAACAAATCTAAGTTGATAAGAAAAAAGCCCAATAACTTACTTGTATAACAAACTTGAAATAGACCCTTCATATTTCCTCTTATTAAGCAATCTGAGGCTCCTGTTTTAAGGAATGAGCTGCCAACTAAACAAATGAAACCCTATTGAGAGCTGTGATGGAGGCTGTTTTCTTAAAGCATATTCAAGTAACAAGCATAATTTAAATACATTTAATTGATTTAACTTACTCATAACAATGACTGTAAATTCCACATTGTTGATAAAATAATATTTTACATCTTTGTAGTTTGTGTGTGTGCTCGCGCTTTTGTGCGTGCCCTATAGTGCAGTGTTTTTCAAAGTGGGTCTATGTGTCCTTTCGTGCCAATCTTTTAATATTGTTTTTGAATCACACAACCGTCCTTCAAGCCAATCAGAATCGAGCTGTCGCTAATGAGAGTGAAACTGAGTATCTGCTCAGCTTTTGGAGCCAGTGAGAGCTCGTGAATGTTTCGCTCTGCAGCTAGATGAGAGCACGGATGTAGCAAATGTCGCAGAATTGCTTGCATGCATCAGATTTATTTCAGAAGACAACTTTGTTGAGGAAATATTATTTTACAAAGCACTGGAAGGTAGGACCACATGAAGAGACATTTTCCAAGATTTAGATGAGTACATCATCTGAAATGGACTTGACTGTTGAAGTTGGCTTCCGATTCAGAGCATCTGATTCGGCAGTTAAGGGGAAAGTTAAGTGACATTTCATTTACAGCTCTGAGCGAACAATCCTCCGTTTTTGAACCTCTTAAATCGCTGCATAGCCGATTTATTTGGACTGGATTATCCAAGAAAGTCTAAAGATTATTGATAACACAGTTTGAGATTTGTGAAACCTTTATTCTATTTGTGAAAATACAAAAAAGGGAGATTTCAGTGCTTTTTTCACATGTAGACCACATTAGACCAGGTCCTGATCTAAAACCACTATACCTACACTCATCAAATCTGGACTGGATTATCCCACAGAGGCTAAAGATTCTTTATAACACAGTTTCAGATTTGTGAAACCTTTATTCTATTTGCGAAAATACAAAAAACGGAGATTTCAGTGCTTTTTTCACATGTAGACCACATTAGACCAGGTCCTGATCTAAAACCACTAGACCTAGACTCATCAAATCTGGACTGGATTATCCCAGAGAGTCTAAAGATTCTTTATAACACCGTTTTAGATTTGTGAAACCTTAATTCTATTTGTGAAAATACCAAAAAGGGAGATTTTGCTGCTTTTTTTACATGTAGACCACATTAGACCAGGTCCTGATCTGAAACCACTATACCTAGACTCATCAAATCTGGACTGGATTATCCCAGAGAGGCTAAAGATTCTTTATAACAAAGTTTCAGATTTGTGAAACCTTTATTCTATTTGTGAAAATACCAAAAAGGAGATTTTGCTGCTTTTTTTACATGTAGACCACATTAGACCAGGTCCTGATCTGAAACCACTATACCTAGACTCATCAAATCTGGACTGGATTATCCCAGAGAGGCTAAAGATTTTTTATAACACAGTTTCAGATTTTTGAAACCTTTATTCTATTTGTGAAAATACAAACAAGGGAGATTTTGCTGCTTTTGTTTAATCTAGACCACATTAGACCAGGTCCTGATCTGAAACCACCAGACCAGGGGTGGCCAACCAGTCAGAGGTTAAGAGCCATATTTTTTCTATGTTACTGCAAAGAGCCACATCAAACACACAGTCACTGATACCGCTTGTTTCAGTTTTTTGTTTTCTGGAGACAAGATTTCAACCACGTCACTGATGCATTTTTGTGGCATTGGGATATCTATTTTTTAAATCTTCTGGAGCAGAGGGAGGAGCTGTGGATTATTGTTATTGATTAATGCATCAGNAAAAGGGTAGGGTAGACATGACGATATTATCCGGGCTGGAACAAAACGTGACAGACCTTATTTCGAGCTATTTTCCAAAATCCTATTGGAGAGCCAATTCCAATGCCTTTTGCTGTCAAGGGATACCCGGAGCGCGCGTCCTGTCGGAACTTGTCATAAAAGTCCCCAAAAATAAAGCCAACCCATTTAAAGGGGAAGAGTTATGGACTTGCGGTCAAATGCTACTCTCATTTGACATTACTCTCTCCGTTGAGTTTACTATGCTGGCCCTCTGCTGAATATACAGAGCGGAACCAACAAGGCTCTCCACGTCTTCACATAACTCGCAGCAGACTGCATTTAACCCTTCACATTCACAACAGAAATGCGAACAGGGCAGGGATTCGCAAGGATTTATTTTCTTTTTGCGAAATTTTGTTATTTTGATGAATACTACGACGCGGAGTATTAGCGGGCCCACTTAAAAAAAATAAACAGCAGAGATTTAGAGAATAAAGTCGCTAATATTATTGAGAATAAAGGTCGCTAATTACGCAGATTAAAGTTGTAGTTTCATAAAAGTGACTTGGAGAAGCGAGACAACACCAGCGTCCTGCAATAAAATGAGGAATGTGCGAACATCTTGGAAGCAGTTTCTTTAGTTATTAGGTTTCTCAAGATAATGAAATACTTAATCTTTTGGCAATCAGCATCAGATTTATCATAAGTTTATTTTAGAAGCTTTTGAAAAGGGTTTGTGCAAGACACTATGCTCTATTATTTTTCAAAGAAAACGAACCAAACGGACTTGGGAGGAGATGTTCTCCTTTCTGCAGGAGGAATGTCTGGGTTCTGTGCGGGACTACAAGGCCTACTCGTTGGTTACATCCTACGAGCGTGGTTCATTTAAGGGATTTGTTTGTTCACAAAGATAGACGATGGGATGACTTGTGAAAATCAAGGCTTTCGGGACATTCAAAAGAGTCGAACCACTTAGCGCTTGTAGGGTGGAATCGGGAGGAGTGGGACTCTCCCATTGAAATTAGGGACAGCAAGAAAGCTCTACACATCTTCAGCGCAGGACTGAAAACCTCATCTTTTCGCACTCCACTTTCGAGCGATTAGATTAGCTAACAAAAATTAGTAACAAAGCACTATAGTAATACTAAAAGGACAAAGGAGGACAGGGACGTATTTATACGATGAGCGTAAGGGGGGGAAACAGGTGGAAACAATCAGGGCCGGGGGCAGGACGCCCTGACGATGCGCCCGCGGCGAAAACACACAAAAGGGAGGGAAGTAATGGGGACGCTGCAAATGAGATTACAAGGAGGATAAGCTACAAAAATAAAATGACAGCGTTCCTGCTCCTTTGCCAATGACGGACTAGACAAGGGTGACAAAAAGACTTGGATAACATAAATCTAACCTGGGCTATGAACTAAACGTGAAAACAATAACATGAACCTGAATTAAAACCCATGGACATGAATATTTAGCAGACATGACGGGACTTGTACAACTTTCCTCCTGCCCGAAAGCGAGACAATCTTGCTCCAAGGGGGGTCCGCTTCTCAAAGTCACTATGAAACTCGAATTTAATCTCGCTAACTATGACTTTTATTCTCGTAATATACGGGGGGACTTTATTTCTCGCATTATTTTTACGACTTTATTCTCGAAAGTCGACTGCTTTTTTTTCTTCTAAGCTGGCTGGCCGCCCCTAATTACTCCATCGTAAAATACAACTTAAATCAAGTGTATTCTTTGGGTAAACTAAATGAAAGAATATAACTACAAACAAGGATATTTTCTAAAAAATATATATTTAAAAAGAAAAGTTTATAAAAAAGAAGAAAATTCAAAATATTAATTTTTGCAATATCTTAGGGACCTCAGAGAGCCGGGCCTAGCAGGGGCCCTGACGGCTCACCACTGCTCAAGTAAAAGTTAGGAAAAGTATTTTGCGCATTCAGAAAATACTTAAAGATTACCAAACAGCTAAGGGAGTACTCAATTGCCGATTGCCCCATTTTTCAGAAAAATATATATTATATGTTTTGATAATTTTTGATTGGCCATTTCAAGCTGGTTATCAAAAAGTTTGGTATTATATCTTTACTGTAAGTTACAGTACTTGAGCAAATATACTTTTAGTGGACTCCCACCTTCTGTTTACACATTATAGCTGTAAATATGGGCAGTGACCAGGCTGGTTAACAACTATCTTGTGGGTTTGAGAAAAACAAACAAATATTAATTGGTATTTGGATCTCCAAATTTAGAGTTAAAAATTAACAAAACAAAAGATTTGGGGGGTTAAAGTACCCTACTCTGGCAATAAAAAGTTAAATGTACTATGTGGTGTGGACCCATTGGCCCACAAAGGTGCTTGAAATCAAAATGCTGAGGAGGTGCTTCATTTGGCGTATTGGCTGATTTTGGCCTATTTGATATAAACATTCAAATTCACTCGACGTGGTTTGCCCATAAAGTATATGAAAAGCGTCAAAGCAGCACAATGAAACAACCCAGCAGGCTAAACCTGGAACAATTACGCATTTTTCTTTGCGATGAGATCAACACTTATCAAATACTACATTAAAAGTAAAATACCTGCATTATGTGATTATAATCAGGAACAGGTACTCAAAGTATCAAAATTGAAGGTAATCAATACTTG